CGCATCACTGCACACACCTCGTTCTGTGAACAAGTGTAACCAGTCATGGTCTGTGTAATTAAAAAAAAATTACACAGGGGCACCTGGGTGGCTCATATACATATATATATGTACATATATATACATATATATGTATATGTATGTGTGTGTATGTATATGTGTATATATATATATACACATACAGCCATGTAGGGCTCTGTGCTCGGGGAGTGGGAGAGGGAGAAGCAGGCTTCCCGCTGAGCAGGGAGCCCGATGTGGGACTTGATCCCAGGACCCTGGGATCATGACCCGAGCCGAAGGCAGACGCTTAACGACTGAGCCACCCAGGCGCCCCCCCCTCATTTTTAAAGAAAAATACCTGTGAGTGCAGTTTCTCACCATTCCTTTCGTCCAGCAGATGGTGTCTCGCACCCTGCCTGGAGGCTGGTGGTAGGCTTGGCTGGCGGGGACCACCCTTTAAATGCACCTGCCGCTTTCCTCCTATGCTTTACAGCGTTGACTGCTATTTAGACTTTGCATCTGCAGAATCCACTGAAATAGACATTTCCACATGTTTACTGTGCACCCCCCCCAAAAAAAACACACACACCCCGAAAGATGAGATCATGTGCTGGGTAAACAATCAGACAAAACACCTGGAGATCAGCATTACTGCCCATGTGGATGCCCCCTGCCCAGCACACTGCCTTGGCACAGCATCCGAGGCCTTGGTCAGCTTCCCTTTCTGGCTCATTCCCACTGCTCCCCACCCAGGTACTCGGAACCACGGGCTGCTCCCCACACACGCTCTTCCCCTCCCCCCCACCCCCCAGCTACCAGGACACTCGACACCGGTCTCCGGTGTCCCTCACTCCCAGAAGCCTTCCCAGAGCTTCCCTCGCATCAGGCACACACACACACACACACACACATATGAGTTCAGTCCTCTCCAGAATCACACACATACACACACACACACATGATTTTAGTCCTCTCCAGAATCACTCACATACACACACACACACACACATGATTTCAACCCTCTCCAGAATCTCATGATGCCTCCTTTGGCTGCACTCCAGCAGTTACAGTACACAGACATGTTCGTGGACTGTGAGCATCTTGGGATGGGAATGTTATGATTTCCATTTCCACACCCTCAGCACCCCTTGCACAGCAAGCACTGGGCAGATGTTTGTGGGAGGAATCAATGCTTTTTGTCTTATGTATCATAGAAGACCGCAGATTCTACCCACAAGCATTAAGTACCTATTTGGAATGGACACACATAGACCTTTACTACCACTCACTGTAGTGGACTCCCCGTGTCGATAAGGAAATGCTCTCCTAGCTGAGCTGGGTCCTCACCAGCCTTGGTCCTCAGGAAAAGTGCCGAGTCCTGGCCAGCGCCACCAGTAAGGCTCTGTCTCTATTCCACACCTGTGGAAAGAGGGTAAAGCTGTGCTTGTCTGCCCTCTGTGTGATGTGCGGAGGCCCAGCTTCGTGGAGACCCCTCCTTCTCACCATGCCGTCCTCCAGGCCTGGGCAGACTCAGGCTTCCCTGGAAGGAGATGCACTGAGCTCGGGATGTGACGGGAACTCGTGACACAACAGGGTGAGTGCCTGGCCCCAGGGCCCTGTCCACTTACGCTTGCTGGCCTTCAGGCTTCCTCGGGAGTGACCTCTCTAGAAGCATTAACGCCGCTGTGTTCCATGTATGCTGAAATAACCTATTTTGCATGGGCACATGGACAGTGGATGACAGATTCAAACCCGTAATGAAGAAAACCACAGATGAGGAAGCTGAGGTGTCTGGGCTCTGAACATGCACCCGAGCGGCCACAGGGGCTTGTAACTGGCACAACCCATAATTCTTGTACTCACGAAAGTTACTGGAAAAGCCCTCGGTGGAGGAATCCTGTGTGTCATCACAAGAGCTCCCCGAAACCAGCAGGCCACAGGCCACAGGACACACTCACTCTGGACCAGTTCAGTCGCTCACCTAAAAAGCAAACACCAAAACACTCAACACTTTGTGTAACGTTTAATATTTTAACAGTGAGCAAACAAGCCTTTTAGTAGGGGGCGGGGGGAAGCTCTCCCTTCCCTTCCTGGCTCTGTCCCTGGAGGAGTGAAGTGAGCCCTGGAGGGGAAGTTCTCAGCCACTCATGTGGGGCGGAGGCGGCTTCGCAAGTGGCCCCCACCTGAGTGTTTACCTTAGAGTAGAAGGCGTGGGGCTGGCTCTGCACAACCTCTTCTGGGGACTCTGTGCCTCAGTGTCAAGTGTTTTGAGGAACATTTAACTTCCTTTCCTCGTGTACATTTGCTTTCATAACCAGAAAGTTGTCCAGATTTTGTAATTCTGGGAATCTCCTTTAAATTCCTTTCTGCTCAAACAGAACAGATACAAGTAAGGCATTCGGTAGAACTTGGGATGCGGCCTGGCACGCACAAGGCAGCCGGCCAGGTGCTGGAGGGAGACCAGTAGATACCCATGAAGGTGGCGGGGCTCAGGGGATAGTTTCTCTGTTTGATTTCCAAGGGTGCGTTGTGGGAGCAATGCATACAATTTTATAAAGATTTTACTACTTTTCGTAGTCCTGGCTCACGGCCTTCTTGCTGTGTGATCAGGGCTGGGTCCTTCCTCCTCCTTTCTTCGTCTGTAAGAGGTGGTGATGGCAGAAGCAAGGCCTGGGTGAGCGTGTCTAACGTGAAAGCTCCTTCTATTTCCACGTATCAGGAGGGAACAAAGACCCACCCCTGCAGTCTCTGTTTCCCTGCATCCATATTTCTTTGTTATCGGATCTGCTCTATTTTAAGTGACACGCTTGCAATCTGTTTTGGTCTCTTCACTTTCTAACTTGGTGAGAGGTGCTTTTTGGTTATTTTCCAAATTATGCTCTAGTGCTCTCCTTTTGCCCAGAGGTCCCAGTAGAGTCATGCCAGCAAGTCCTGGGCCCCTCCTGATGTCCCGTGAGGCGTCCATCACCCCGCTGCACTCGAGAGGCCCGCAGGCCCCACCCCAGAGCCCTGGTCACAGAGCCACCTCCTCCCGGCCAGTCCTGCCGTAGCCCCGGAGGGAGACCGTGGCCAGGAGCCTCTCCCAGGACCCAGGTCAGTGCGCGGGTGCTGCTCTTGGCCTTGTAGGGACTGTGGGAACGTGGTCGGTCTGTCTTTCTGTCCCCCCCTCTCCTCGGGCAGGAGAGACAGGAGTAAGCACGGGGATGTGTCCTTTCCTAGCCAGACTTCTCCAGAAGTCTGACCAGAAGACTTCTTTGAACCATGACCTTTTTATATTCCCCTCTGGGGAGAGGAAGAAGGTTCACCCCGGTCAGGCCAGGTCACGTCGTGGGGATGGCGGGCCCTGCTAGAGGCACTGCCATCCCCCGTCTGACCTAAAGCACTTCTAGAAACTTTGATAAACCACAGGCCCTCGTGGGTCTCATTATTTTTTATTCTTTTATTATTTATATTCTTTTATTAACTGCCTGCAGCTGATTTTATGACACTTTTTCCACCTTGTTAATTTTGAAAGAATTTGGATCATTTATTAAGGTGACACTTAATAGCACTTCATGCTACTTTAGCTTTAATCTCTTCACATTTTAACCACATGGTTAATTAAAAGCATATTTTAGGTTGATTTGTAAATAACTTCTTGCAGTTGTGTTCTCTACGAGTATTCACTGAGGACCCTTAAACGCGTGAATTTTGAGTAACTATCATCCGACAGATATGGACAGCCACATCGTTTCCAAAAAAAGCAAGAGTTTAATTTTAAAAAGAGCTTCAGTGGAAATGACTTTCAACTGATTGGGGCCAAATTGGCCTTTGTGAGAAAACACCTAGGAGCTCTCAAGGCGGGTCCTCTGGGCATTCACTGAGGGACGTTTGTCCTAGGGCTCGCGCTCTCTCAACCCGCCTGGCGGGTGGTGTGCGGCTGCATCCGCCCACCTGCATGTGGAGCCAGTTCACTGAGCTCAGAACTTCCTGCGTACGTCACACAGGCTTCTCCCCACTTGCAGGACCGTGAGCACCAGGGGCCTACCTCCACTCCCCCTGCGCCCTCACCGCCGTGTGGACGGGAACCAGGTGCTCTGGGGGGCAAGGGGGGCCCTCCACCTCCACCGCCCACGTGCCCACCCTGGGTGGGTGCAGCCCCGTCCGCCCCCCGCCTTCATGCCCGCAGCTTCCGGAACGCGGTGGTACCGTGTCCTGGGCGTCGTGGGGTCTTCCTGAGCTCCTTCAGACCACCTCCTTCTGCGGCAGGTGAGTGTCTCGTGCGTGTTGGGCTCCGTGTCTCTGCCACTCACGCTAGAAGTCTGGGGAAATGCATTTCCCCAGGTGGAGGGAGACCTTTAGAAATCCCCGCTCTCGTTTCTGCTGGGTCTCCCAGAGGACAGCCTCTCTAAGCCCTGCGCGGCCATATGTGCCAGGTTTAAACATAATACTCCTACGTGACATGGGGCAGATTTTCTCTGGAGGAAAATGACCACTGTCACGTGGAGGCCGCATACCAGTGCTCATGGTTAAAGCAGGAAAAACTGGTCCTGAGGGCCATCGTTCCACCCACAGGTCTGCCTACCACGTCCTGTCCCCTGGTCAGCCAGGCTGGCAAGGGCCCCCTCCCAGGCCTCTCCTCCCCGCCCCGCAGCTCTGGGCCAGCCAAGTGTGCTTTCACCGGTTCTGTGACCGTGGCTGTGGCCGGGGTGGCCAGTCGGCGGGAGAGGGGGGCAGGGGGGATGCGCAGAGAGGTAGCACATTCATCCGAACCACAGGGGACACCTATATGGCGTCTCCTGCAGGATGAGAACCCCTCCAGCAGCACGTGGCCATAGAGCCTGTCACTGAGGGTGTGTCTCGGCAGGAGACCGGCCACTGCCTAGCAGCGCGCTTTCTCCGTGAGCGGACGGAGCAGAGCTGGTGTCTTTCTCTGGTGGCAGACAGGACGCGGGGACGCGGGAGGAGGGCTTGTGTCTGAGGGGGGTCTCCCGCCCCGGGGCCCCCAGGTGCACCGCGGCCACCGCACACCCGGCCTTCCGTCAGCCTGAAGATGGCCGTGCTCAGGCAGCTGGTGCTCCTGCTCTGGAAGAACTACACTGTGCAGGTAGGCACATGCCCCTGTGCACCGGGCCCCAGGAGGGGCGAACCGAGGGAGGGCCCCGTGACCCCTGCCAGCCTCGCGCTCCCCCAGCTGGCTCCTTCCCTTTCTCTTGCAGAAGCGCAAAGTCCTGGTGACCGTCCTGGAGCTCTTCCTGCCCTTGCTGTTCTCTGGGATCCTGATATGGCTCCGCTTGAAGATCCAGTCAGAAAATGTTCCCAATGCCACCATCTACCCCGGCCAGTCCATCCAAGAGCTGCCCCTGTTCTTCAGCTTCCCACCTCCAGGCGACACCTGGGAGCTCGCCTACATCCCGTCCCAGAGTGACGCTGTGAAGACCATCACGGAGATGGCACGGAGGACGCTGGTCATCAACATGAGAGGTGAGGTGTCCTCTGGGTCCCCTCCCGTCCAGCTATGGGGGACGAACCCAGGTGAGCCGCCCCGGCCAGTGGCCAGACTCAGCATCTGCCCTCGTTGGCGGGTCACTCGTTATAAAATGGGGACCACGTGGGTGACCCCTGGAGCAGCACGGGCTCTGGAATCACTCCCAGCGGTTCATGGTGGGGACAGCTCTGGAATTCCACGGGCAAGGTGTGCCGTGAGTGCGCCCTGCCAGCACCTTTCCTGGGTTGTGGTTTTGGGGGGACGGTTCTCGAAAAAGGCATCGGGAAGCCCGTTGCGGGACACGCCCAGTACATGCACCTGTCTCCTTGCCTCACTCTTTGCTTCCAGGATAAAAGTGTTACCGCTTTTCCTGCCTCCTCTTTGTTGTATACCACCTGTGGCCTATTGAATGCCCTGTGGCAAATGCTTCGGGGGAGGTTCTTGGCCCTCACGGAACGATGACGGGAAGCCCTTTACGTGGCGTGGGGTCTGGTGACAGAGAAACCGTGTGACACATGACATTAGTGTCCACTCCCATCATGACACCCCACATGGCCAGAGACAGAGGCCACCCCGTGCAGGGGGGCCGCCTCCAGCTCTCCCCAGAAACCCGGCCGCCCTGATGGTAGGGTGCCGCTGGTCCCCACGGCAGCCAGTCTCTCTGCCCCCCACGAAAGCCTTCTGGACTCTGAGGACAGGGATACAAAGCCCTAGAGAAACCTGGACATTTGCAGTCTTTTCCTGAAAATGACCTGAAGCAGCCCAATTTCCCAGTAGAACGGGCGCTCGGGCAACTCGCGGCTCTCCCACAGCTCGCGGCTTTCCCTCGGAGAAAGACTTTGAGGACTACATCAGGTACAACAACCGCTCCTCCAACGTGCTGGCCGCCCTGGTGTTTGAGCACACCTTCAACCACAGCGGGGAGCCCCTGCCTCTGGCGGTGAGGACCCCGCCCCACAGCCCCTCCCCCTCCTCAACCAGCCCAGCCTGTGAAGGCTCTCTGCCCGCCCGCTGGGCCACACCTGGCTTCACCACGGGGCCGGGGAGCACAGCTGGGTCCCCGCCAAGGGTGCCCTGGTCCCGCTCTAGCCCGTTGGGCCAGCGCGGCTGGGAAAGCCTGAAGAAGGCAGCCGGTGGCCCACTGCAGACCCCTTAGTCCTCCCACGTGTCCCCTGTGCGCCGTCAAGTGGGCAGGGGGGAAAGGAGCGGACACGTGGGACTTCCGGACACCAGCACTAGAATTTCAGTTATTTAAAACACAAGGAAGTCTTCCTGTCTGGTGGCATCAAGACCAGGAAATGATCCAGTTCCTCTAGCGTTATTTTGGGGACCCTCCACTGATGATCAGGGCGCCTTGGGTGCAGAGTTCCTGGAGGTGGCTGGCAAGACGGGGCTGGCAAGAACACCCCAGGAGCGCATCTCAGGGCTCCCTTCCCCACCCAGGGCAGGGCTACTCACCATGATGCTCCAGGACCCCGTGGATGTTGGGGGGGGTTGTGGGGGTGTGGAGTTCACGGTAATGAACCCCTAAACTCTCTCGTTGGACACGATGTTTGCTTCTCTGTCTGGATCCCTCAGAGTGGGTGCTTTTCTCTTTGTTCCCGTAGGTGAAATACCACTTACGGTTCAGCGACACACGAAGAAACTACATGTGGACCCAAACAGGCTCCTTTTTCCTGAAAGAGACAGAGGGATGGCACACCACTTCGCTCTTCCCACTTTTCCCAAACCCAGGACCAAGGGAGCCTGCGTCCCCTGACGGCGGAGAACCTGGTGAGAAGCCACGGCCACGATCCCTCCCGGGGCTGCTGACGGGACGGTCACGGGGGCCCCACTTCGCGTCCCTCTGCAGAAATACTCCTTTAGGGCTGTTTGGTCTTCTGCCGCGTAGAGGGAAGGAAGCGTCCGGGAAAGCTGGCTCTGATGGGTTAAGACTGCCACATCCTTAGAGGCACTGTCCCCACTTCCCTGAGGACGAGTGCTCCTGAAGGAAACTTCTGTGTCTCAGTCTTAAAGAGGCTACTACTGGTGTCGCGTCTGTGGGCTTGGCCTCATGCTTCCTTTCCCTCCGTGGCCTTTGCTGTGCATGGTTGTGTGGGCTTCGGGAGCTCTGTGGTCCTGGAGCAATTGTCCGGGGTCTGACTGTGCGAGCGGGGCACTTGCCGAAGCCAGCTCTTGGCTGGTTGTGCCCCCTCAGTGTGCGCGTTGGTCTGTCCCGTGTGGCCTGGGCAGGCACACACAGGCCACACAGCATGTGCGTCTCCCCCGAAGCACGGCTGCCCTCCCGGAACGGAGCTGGGGGTGAGCAGGGAGTAGCCCAGTCCGTGGGTCCCGGGTCCCGGGTTGCGGAGAACACAGGGTTCCACCGTCTGCAGGAGACAGAGCGTGTCCAGGTTTTGGTGGAAAGAACCAGGAATGTCCCGAAACGAAGTGCCAGGCGGCCAGGCAGGCAGGCAGGAGGAAGGGAGGCGGCGGCCAGTGTTTAGAGACCGTGGCTGGTGCCTGGAGCCAGCAGCAGGAGAGACTGTCCTCCTGTTTTTGGGTACACTTTCCTAAGGTTGGAAGCAGATTTCGCTAGGTATAAATTCAAAATTTGCCCAAGAAGGAAAAGCAAGAAGGAGCCTGGGGAAAGCATTCCAGCCAATGACAAGGATCCACGTCTTTTTATGTTGAGGACTCGATAGTCCACGCCAGGTGCGAGCACACGAAGGCCCCCAAGCCATGGCAGGGACGCAGGCCAGGCACATAGCACAAACTCGGCGTGCTCCCCCAGCCCCATGTCCACACTCAGACCCACGGGGTCCCCGAAGGGAGTTCAGCCCCTGGAAGAGTCAGAAGGAAGGAGAAGATCCACATGCTGAAGGTGTTTGCCGTGGCTTTGTTTCTGGTCACAGACCTTTCAGCAGGGGGAGTGGTTGACGAGAGGGGGACTCCTCAGGGCTGGTTGCAGCCACGCCACAGTGGCTAACACACAGGCCAGGCTCTTCACTGGAATCCCTCACCCCTGGTCTGTTACTCCTCCTGCCTCACTGGCAGACTTTTATGACAGAGCACGTGGCAGGCGGTCAGAGAGGGCCAGCAGAGAGAGCACAAAGCACTCGAAGGTCTGAGCAGTGGCCTTTGGACTGTGATGCCTGCCTCTCTTGAAGGCGCTAGCTCGGGTGGAAGGAAGTAAGGCTGCTACTCAGCGGGCCTCAAGATAGCAGGATTACTGTTGATTATCCTGGGGGGCCCGATGTAATCAGCAGGGTCCTCCAAAGTGGACAAGGGGGGTGGAAGAGAGGGTCAGACCAGTGCCGCCTGGCTGGTCTTGGGGGTGCGGGAAGGGGTCGTGTGTCGGAGATGAGGATGGGGCCCCCGTAGGGGCGTTAGGTGGCGTCGCTCCGTGGCCCTGTCCACCAGGGAGACCCCAGTATGGCTCAGGGCATGCGGCTGAGTGAGCGAGCAGCACCCGTGATGTGGCTTTTCCCACTGCTCCGCGCTCAGGGTACATCCGCGAAGGCTTCCTGGCCGTGCAGCACGCGGTGGACAGGGCCATCATGCAGTACCACGCCAACGCCTCCACGCGTCAGCTGTTTGAGAAGCTCACCGTGATCGCGAAGAGGTTCCCTTACCCCCCTTTTATTTCGGACCCCTTCCTGGTTGCCATCCAGTACCAGCTCCCCCTGCTGCTCATGCTGAGCTTCACCTACACCTCGCTCACCATCATCCGGGCCGTCGTGCAGGAGAAGGAGAGGAAGCTGAAGGTAGCCGTGCTCTGTGTGGCTTCCAACTGTCTCGGCGGGTTGAGTGCAGGCGCCATGCCGCCGGGGGGAGGCAGCGAGCGGGGCACTGAGCCATACGAGCAGCCGGACGTGGGGTGGAACGCCCACCGTGGCGCCGGCAATCCCAGGGCTTCTGTGAAATCAAGCCCGGTGCATCCAGGTCTTAAAACCCTGATAAAGCACCACATGTTGTGTGCAGTGCGCTGAAGCCTGACATGTTGAAAAGACCATGGTTTGGATGTGCTAGGTCAAGCAGAACACAGCGTTAAACTAATTTCACGGGTTCCTGTTAACTTTTTTGCTGTGGCCACTAGAAAACTCTAAATTATATACCTACTCACATCCAAATCCTGCTGAACAGAGCCACCCCAGGGGGACCAAACATTTTGGTTCGTGGCCGGGCAGAAGGCCCGTTCACTCTGCACGGGTCAGGCACAGCTGTAGGTCTGCACCACCAGGTGCAGTGGGAACGGGGGTAAGGAGTATGGAAGGTGTCCTTGCCTTAATCAAGTACAGCTGCACAATAGCGTCACCCATAAACTCATGCCGGTGACGCTGTTGAAATTACCCAGACTTTATTTGAAGTTCTTCCTTCGGCAGCAGCTGTGACACTTAGCATATTCTCATAGATGCCACATCTGTGATCGGGGGGCTTGTAAGCAGGGGGCCACGAGAGGGGACGGGTGCTGTCTGCGTGGGTGTGGGG